AGCTGTCACCATTCGAACTGTTTCCAGTTCCTGGTGGAAAACGGATATCTCAAAGATTTCCGTCAGGCTTTCATACCCATGTAATCTCCAAAAGCCTGTTCTGGCCGCCGTTTTTGCACCGCGTTAACCACGAATGGGATTGTGGTGACCAAACTTTGACCAATCTATGAGATCGCTCTTTCCAGTGTGCGACGAAGCGGAACAGCCGCTTATTTCTCGCTTCGATTACACTGCGCTCCGAACGTTGCGTTACATTTCGTGGGTTGCGAGAGCACAGCTTAACAATGGTGGTCACTACTAGGTTATTACGAATTTCAACGGGAAATCCAGCCGGGGAACGTAACAGGAAAGGTGACGGATCCAAAATTGGCAGATATCATTTGCGGGACCGCCCTTTCCCACTTGGCATACAGGCAGCCAGTACTCCTTGTCAGAGAAACGGCCAACTTGATCACCAGGCCCAGTGAATAAATGACTGGGATCTCGGCGCTATATAAGTCCCGAAGATACAGTATCGAAATGGGTGAAGTGACGGTGTCAACCAGCACCCCCCCCCCTTCATAACCCATATACGCTCTTCTTACTGAACTTTCCCAAAATGTTGTCTTGTCTCTCACAACGATGCTGTACCTCTGACCTTTTCGCTCTGATGCTGCCTGGCTCGTCGTCTTTTCCCGCCTGACTGTGAGAGCTTTTTCTGCAGAAAAACTGGCAGCTCCGACTCTTGCAGCTCGGGAGGATGTAGGGCGGGCTAGGCAGGACATGTTAGAATTTCTAACCCTTACTTTTGACTTTTGGGATCGCAGGCCTTGCGGTCCTGCAAGCAAGGTGCAGCAGCAGGATTGATTAAATGGCAGTGCCAGTATTGCCCCGTCCCCAAATCTTCTCTTCCAGTACGACCCCTAACCCCGTCCCGCCCTTCATTATTCAAAAACTCTCCCAAACCCTACTAATGTTCCAGAAATTAAATTTTTTTCAAGTGACCTTCAAGTGAATTGTTGTCATAGAGCTGCAAAAATGAACCACTATAAATTGCAGTTGCGCAGAGGTTCTACGGCCCCTATGCAATAGAGAGAGGAAAAAGGGCCTCTGTAGGCGCCGTAGGACTGCTGCGCAACGCTATTCATGATGGTTCATTTTGGCGATGGAGACCTCGCTCAAAGGTCAGTTGAAAAAGCCAAATTTTTGAAAATTGGTAGGTAGCCGGAAGGATTTAGGGAGACCTTAAAAATTTTTTCACAAAGCCACGTCCTCCACCGACCAAGCACGACCACGATGGGATCCTCCCAACGATCCTATACCATGCCATGAGTGTGAAATTCGCTGGGATTGCGGATACGAAGTGATCTCGCCTGAAGATGAGACTTTGGCTCAACCCAGAATAACCTTAACTCACAATTCCTGTAGTGACTGCAGCGTTCAACGGTAAACGTCGTGAAGAAACAAGTTCAAAAAGACAATTACCCACTAAAGTTTTGAAACTGATAGTAGAACCGAATCATACTCCGGGCCCAGGTTTAGGTTCCAAATTACTCGATTGAGAATAACAGACCGGAGTGGGCAGTTCGGCTTGATGGGGGCACTGAGCGCAGCCAGTTAAAGGCACCATGTAAAGACCTGTCAATCGTTGAAGCCAAAGTGGCTCACTTACGGGAGACGGGCAAGAGAATCGTAATTTGCCGCTCCGCCGCGCGCGGCGATGGGCGCGGCGTTTTCTCAACTCGTGTTAACCTGTCGATTGGAGCACCGGACTTCATGTAGACCCCGTCATCGTAGACATTCATGACTATTTTCGGTTCCAAATTGCCTGTTGTCGCCATCTACTACCTGAAGCCATCGTCATTTGCGGTGCGACGTCGCACGCGGCGCCCACCAGCCTGAGACGCCCACCAGAAATACGATTCTCTTGTCACGTACCCCTCACTAATACCATTTCGTGTCTTCACAAAAGTTCATAGGTCTCACCAAAATGTAAAATGTTAGTTAACACAAACAACTAGAAAGACTAGCGAAAAAGAGATGGTCCTTCCAAGCCGAACAGCGATAATTCCAAATTTCATTTTCACCTTCAAAAGCCATGGAGACAAGCAGACATGCATGCTGCTAGCAACATTATGTTTATATAACGATGTTTATATAAAAACATCAGTAACACGCGAACAGATGTCCGAGACAGCATAGAATTCCCCTTTATTCCCTTTCCAGTTTCCAGAAATCGATGTTGAGCAAATACAAAGCTTTGACTGATTCTACGGTACTTTTTGTTAACACTATTCTTCAACTCTTTTCCAAATGGAGACTTCTTTTCCAAATCCTTGCCACAAAGTTATCATCGCACTGCATTCACCCAGGACGTGCGTCAGAGAGGAACGCAGAGCGGAGAGAGCCCAATATAGGATACGGGCTCAAGATAAAAGTAGAAGTAATAGAGCTGTTCGGTTTTGGAAGGGGCATTTTGCACTCTTTTCGTTTCGTTTGTCAGTTCCTGCTGAATTACACGTCACATCTTGATCAGGCAGGTGAGATTCTTGTCAAGTGAAACTACCTGCTATTATCTGCACATTTTACAGGATTTTACATGTCTCTACAGGGATTATCTGTATTAATCGATGGGAAACTAACAAAATGCCCCTACCAACCGAACTG